ATCACCAGGCACTAAAGGCAGGTAACTATTATCAGCAAGTCCCTAAGTCCATCAACCCTAGCAAGGAAGGGGGAATCATTTGGGCAACACTGATTTTCACTGACACTATCTTTCACTCTGCTCAAAACTCTATCAGCTTCTGCTGTAATGTTTAGTCTTTCCAGATGCCACAGTGATTTTTAGAGCAATTATTTAATTAGGCGAATACCAGCAGAGAGAAAACTATAGGAAAAGAAAGAAATTTCCATAAGGCATGATATGAATAAATAAGTGAAAAAACAATTACAGGCTTAAAAGTAAAACATGAGAAGTCAAAGCCTGTGAAATTTTATTTATACAAAAGAATAAAAATAGAAAGGACTGATTCAAACTTATGTTTTTCCATTTTTCCTATTCCTTGAATAGGAATCTGCTTCCAACTCAGAAAGATTTAAGATAGGTAATTACTAAATAAACACTCTTTTACCTTCCCTTGCAAAAAACCAAAGAGCCAAGTTTCCCATTTTACTTAACAACAAACCAGAGTTTCTTTTCCGTTAAGAATATTGGCAACTGCATGAAACAGATTATCAGATATGCCAGCAGGAAGGTATGAGCTGTACAAAGGCATTACAAAAAAAGGCCCAGAAGAAAATACAATGGTAAAAACAACAATAGAAAAAGAATAAAACACAAAACCAAATAAGAAAATGCCAGATATTTACAGCCTCTGTCTGAAATGTGACTTGTGTTCTACTTTCAGCATGAGATAAAACCAGAGAACATTTCTTGATGGGTATCACACACAAAGCTGGTGCCAGCCAGTTTAGGGGAAGACATTCATTCTAAGAAGGGAGAAATGCATGGTTAGCAGTTTGTTGGGATTATATAACCAGGTTTTGGTCTTCCTGCAATTCTGTTACTAAAAATGACACAAATTAAATGATCCAAGTTTTACAGAAATGACTCGTCACCACATTTAGAACAAACTATTCAAGAGTCACAGGCACTGGGTCTGGGAGAGCGAGGTGGACGGCCACACACTCAGGTGAGGGATGTTCATCTTTGTGAGGTCGGAGATGGGAAGCAGGGCTCTATAGCCTGGAAGCTTCTGCACGAATGAGTCTTCTAATAGTCCTAAAGAGAGAAAAATAAAAGTCCCAACTTATTCTCAGTAGAACACTGGTTTGACCTAATGGAAAAAAAATCTCATAAAAAACTCTGCTAGGAGGCTCAGCGCCTATAGCTCAAGCAGCTAAGGTGCTAGCCACATATATCAGCGCTGGCGGGTTTGAATCCAGCCTGGGCCTGCCAAACAACAATGACAACTACAACCAAAAAATAGCCAGGTGTTGTGGCGGGTGCCTTTAGTCCCAGCTACTTGGGAGGCAGAGGCAAGAGAATCGCTTAAGCCCAGGAGTTGGAGGTTGCCGTGAGCTGTGATGCCACCGCACTCTACCCAGGGCAGCAGCTTGAGACTCTGTCTAAAAAAAAAAAACTCTTCTAGGAGATTGTTCTATAGATAAAGATTCTAATTTAAATGTAACGATATTTGAAAAATGTACAATATTTGGCACCTGAAAATGGTATGTCTTCTGAGTCCATGAAGGGATATCAATTCTGTTCTGAAATCATTGGTTAAGAAAAAGAGCTAGTATTAACAATTTATTATTTAGGCCAGGTGAGGTGGCTCACACCTGTAATCCTAGCACTATGGGAGGCCAAAGCAGGTGAATTGCTTGAACTCAGGAGTTCGAGAACAACCTGAGCAAGAGAGATATCCCGTCTCTTAAAAAAAAGAAACAGCCAGGCATTGTGAAGGGCGCCTGTAGCTACTACTCGGGAGGCTGAGGCAAGAGGATCACTTGAGCCCAAGAGTTTGAGGTTGTTGTGAGCTATGATGCCATAGCACTTTATTCAGGATGACAAAGTGAGACTCTGTCTCAAAAAAACCCCAATTTATTATTTAATCAAAGGGAGTTTCAGTGAAAATATATGTGATCTCCTTCTCTTTCCAAACATTAAAAAGGTAAATAACACCTGCGAGGTGAAGTATATCCAGAAGGATACCCCAGACTTTAAAACAAGAATTGTGACCCCAGGTTAGGAATACCCAAGCTCTAAAGAAGAGTACATTTTTCTAATAATTTACAAAATTTCCAGCCTCTCTGAAGTCGTCTAGCTGATACTTACAGCTCGTGGTTTTTTGTTTAACTTCAGATCAATCCTGTGATAGGAAAGATAAAAGATATTTGCATTTTAATTTATAGAAAATGGGTCTAACAATCAGCTACTGCATAGGGCACAAGCTATAACAAAGACTATTTGGTTAAGTAAAATCCACATTCTTCATTAGACTATGTCATATTTAGTTGTTTACCCAGATATTATTAAGCAAGTATTAAAAATTACAAGCAGATATTTTTGCCACAGGCAAACTCAGAGGACTCTAAAAAAAAAATGTACATCGCAGTTACAATAGCCATATAACTTTTCAAAATTATTCCAAAATTACATGTTAAAGAAATTGAATGAAGAGGGCATGCTCTATGTTAATATGTTAGCTCTGTAACTACATCCCTGAAAATTACTGAGACACATGGTGATTAGGAACAGGAAAGAGACTAGGAGTTTGTATTTCTGGACATGAAACACAAAAGAAATTAAACAAATTTCAATTTTTAAATCTTTCCAAAGCAAAATATCAAGATCTTAAACTATTAATCTCCTTATGAAGCAAAGCCAGAAAATCAATTTAAATATGAATTAAAGTAAAGGTTATCCATTTTAAAAGAAATTAAAATGCATAAAAGTGAAGTTTACTTAATTTTGCTTAAGTTATTAAATAAAATGTTACCTCCATCACGTTTTTCTGTTTTTAAAAAAAACTTCCCAGCCTAACCTAATATACATACCTACAATTAAACAGATAAACTATGGGTTAGAAAGGTCTCAAAAAGGCATACTGGCGTCTACACACTAAACAACACAGCACAAATACTAATTCAAATCAAACTTACTCAAAGTCATAATCAAACATGCCAGACGGGCTGAGGGGCAGCATTTGAAAGGAAGAAAGCAATAGAAATTAATACACTAAATGAATAAATTAGTCGATTAGCCACCCTAGCAAGAATTATAGAAACAAAATCAGCTTTAAGAATCTTAAGCTATAAAGTTTCAAACATTAAAGCACCAAAGATTTTGTGGCCAGGAGATTCCCTTTGCTCAGTGGATCTCCTATCAGAAGGACACAGACTATGAAAGGAAAAGTTATTTCATTAGAAAACGACAGATACCTGGAGCCCTTTTATTAGCTGCCAGATTCAGAGTTAGAACTTTTAACGATATTTAATTGTACTGAAAAATATAATTAGGGCATTAGAAGAAACAGAGAAAGAAAGGTTTAGTCATATAATGAAAGGCACTTTGAAGACATACTAACAAATCAGCATAATATACTTTCACTAAAATAAAAGATGACAAAAACATTCTAAACTTTAAAAAAAGGAACATTTTGCAGCTGTTTACTTGTGTTATAGTATGTTCTAAACATGTCCAGGGGACATGGTGCTCCTTTTCTACCCAATTCATCCTAGAAGCCAAGGGTTCAATGAATAAACTTCAGTGGGAGTCTTTTTCCAAAAACTTCAGAGCAACATTACTCTGCACAGAGTTGGTGATGGTGGTTAGCCATTTATGCTAGGACTACAATTAAGGTACACCAAAGTCTCTAGTGCCCCTATTAAAATAAAGGTAGGTTGACATTCATAAGCATCCAAGCCTCAGGGACCTGGGTGGCAACAGTACAGAAGAGGAGGTCATTTTGTGCCATCACTGCTAAGAGACCATGATCTGGACAGACCTCCAAAGCAAACATTTACCCAGAGCATGACATCTGCTTCTTAGCTGGCTCCAGTGCCTTTCAGACCAGGCAGGTGGTAAAACAATATGCAAATGGCTACATTTTCCTCCTAGACCAGCGGTTCTCAACCTGTGGGTAGCGACCCACGGGAACTGTATTAAAGGGCTGCAGCATTAGGAAGGTTGAGAACCACTGTCCTAGACAATGTTTGTAAGAATGAAGCTGGAAGAAAACTTAATGTCAATATCCCTTCCATCACAGTTTCACTTAAGACATTTGGGAGAGTATACATACAGTAAATGTACAACCCAGGAATTACCAAATATTTCACTTGCAGCCTGACTTAACTTTGTTCACAAATTAAAATAGACTATACCTAGATTTTTGTTTTGTTTTGTTGTTTGAGACAGAGTCCCACTGTCACCCTGGATAGAGTGCTGTGCCTCACTGCAACTTCAAACTCCTGGGCTCAAGCAATCCTCTTGCCTCAGCCTCCCAAATAGTTGGGACTACAGGTACTCACCACAGTGTCCAGTTAATCTTTCTATTTTTTTTTTTTTTTTTTTTTTTGAGA